ATACACTACATACCAATACTTTTAATTATGTGATGTATGCTACAAGAAAAGTTATGTTCAAGTTGATGCAGAAAAGCATGTGGCAAATGAGGGCCCGACGTGCTTCAATTGCAGTCACCATATATATGTGTGTGTGTGTGTATATATATATATCAGAACTAACCTTCTTGTTTGTTGGCTTGGCAGCATCTGACGTCTGAGTTAAAAGCATGTGCAGCTGCTGAGTAAGAGTTCAACGTGTCCTCTATCTGTTACGTTGATCTGATATATCCATCTGCTATCAAAGAGAGATTCATGAGGTTGAGGAGGATGCGCCTCGGAAATGCAAGATGCTTCTACTTCTACTTTATTCATCTTACTCATATTTCTGTCTAGGTTCAAATTTCAATACAACTTACTTAATTAAGATGTTTGCGTCTGGTTATTCTGACACTCTTCATGTTAACTCGTCTCAAAGAAAGACAAAGATCCTCTGCCCAATCTCAGAGCCAAGTGGTACAAGTAAACTAGCTTATCAAACTTCCCATTTGCTAATATCAGGGACATGGGTCAATTCTCATCTGCAGATCTAATATCTTAGCCACCAGTACTTTTTAATAATCACAGATGCCATACTACAATATGCCAAATGCTATCGAATGGTCAAGATGATTTCCACGTACGAGTTATGTTAGTATAGCCTTTGAAAGTAATCAAATGTAGTGTTTATCTTTTATGTCTATGATGATGGTCTCAAAGATGAGGTTTGTGATTGAGAGTATGCTGGTTCTTACTGCTTCTCTGATTGTAAGTGGTGATAAGATAGTACCTAAAACACAGGCAGGAAAGTTGGCTAACAAAATAATTGTCTTCTGTCTTTCTCCTGTCTCTGATCTCCACGTTCATCTTCTGTCTTTTATCTTTCCTAAGAAAGTGGCCTAATCAACTCGTTATGCTCAACATGGTACTGAAACTAGTAACTTTTTGTTCTGTTTTAAATCTTTCTGTACTGTATTTAATTTAGTCCATTATCTTTTCCTATTTGATTCTTGCCCAAATAGGGGTGATATGCCTACCTAATTAGGGTGACAAGCATGGAAATGTTTGTGGGCGCCAAGGCCGTTCCTTTCTCAGCTGAGTCAGCGATCATGGTCGAAGCTAATGCGGCTCTTGAGGGTTGTCTCTTTGCAATGGAGCTCGGTCTTACTTGTGTGTGGACAGCATCAATGGCAACATCAGAAGAGGACGATGGTGTATGTACCCCATTCTCACTAGAATTTGCGATTATCATCACAACTTCAACCATTGCACCTGGACTTGGACGCGCAGGTCTGGAAACCAAGCAGCAGATCGTTTGGCAGCTGTCGCACTATCGAGGTTGAGACCGGAAGTCTAGACATCCAGACCCCCCACCTCACTTGTGCATGTTCTCAACAACGATGGTCTCCCTTGCCAGCCAACAAGTACCTAATGCTGTGTGCCGGTCTGGATGGCTCTGACTCCTCTGAGCTTGAGGTTGTCTTGTTGTCTCTCACCTAGCAATTGGTTATCTAGACGCGGTCCTTGTGCTGTGTTAGTTGTTTTTAATATTGTTTCCTTTGTTTTGCTGTCTGTACTCAGTGATCATGTGCTGGCCAGTTTGATAATTTGGGTGTCTCTTCTTTTGGGTCCCCTATTATATGAAGTTCGGTTAATCCAATTTGACCCAAAATAAAAATAAAAATCAGGGTTTAGTAAGACTCCACTGAATTAAAGAGGAAATGCCAATATAGGATCAAAATCCCAATTCCCTGAACAAGTTCAAAACCTTATATGGAAAACATAGAATGCAGAGAGCAGCATCATGAACCAAACTCCAAAACAGCAGAAAATGGCTGGTCTTAGCTAGAGTTCCCCCGAACACTTCATTAATGGGGTACAATATATCTCCTTTTTTCTTCATAAGGGAATGCAAGCAACTCAGTATCCACTATATATAGTAAAAGGGATCGATCATGAAGGGCATATATATCATTTGATATAGATCTACTTCATTTATAAAACGGTGGGCTTCATCAGAATGGGAGGACTAGTAGAGAAAAGAAAAATGGCAGAGTTGAAGTTTTGAAAATTGAACCTGGTCAGGATTGCAGTCACTGGAGAGAACAAAAGCGAAGTGAGTGGTCTGTGGCCATAAGCTCTCACAAGTCTCAACCCGTTGTTCTCTTTCATATCCCAACTTGTTCCTTCCAGCATTTTCTTGGATGCAAAAGCATACATTTTGTTGAAGAATATGAGTCTCACACCGGAAACTTAACTAAATAAAATACAAAATATAATGAATGATTCTACTACTAATAACACCGAGGCCTTTTATGATAAAACCTCACGCCTATAGGGTTTTGTAGGTAGTTAAGTTGGAGACAATATCAGTGTTGTTAGTGGTAGGCCGCTAGCCCATCTCTCTGAATTTCACATGGTATCAGAGCGAGTTGATTGATTGGACCTGAATTACTGGGCATTTACCCTTACCCCTTACCCAACATGTAGTGTTCACATGTTGGGCTTGAATGTTTACTCTTACCTAATACGCGGTGCTCACGTATTGGACTTGAATATTTGATTCCGATGTTAACTTGGCTCTACATGTGGCCTACTATGTGATGGTCCCACGTAAGGGGGCGTGTTGAAGCATATGAGTCCCACATTCCAGAAGCAGGTCTTAGCAAGTAGCCACAGCACATATGAGGTTCTGATCTAGATTTCCTTGAGAATAAGTGTGGGCCAGGTAATTATTAAGAATGGCACATGACAATCACCTCAATATTATTCCTTTCTTCCATCTAGCCTCCAATGTCGTCTAGGTTCATTACTTAAAGATCGGTTTCCTCCTCCGATTTTCTTCCTATTGAACAAGGACAAGGAAATAAGGAACATGCAATGCAACATAAACACAACCAAATGCAAAGAGGGCCAGACACTATATAGCAGAGGTAGTTGCAACTCATAACCAACAAACCAAAACAAGCTTTGAAAGAAGTAGAAAGAAAGAAGTAGGAACTTTGTCAGGTGTCACCTAGAGTTCCCTTGACCACTTCATTGGGAAATAATTCTTTCTAATCAATTATATATCCTACTGAAGTGTTTGGGGGAACTCCTGGTGGCATTTGATTTTACAAAGACCGAAAAGGCTTATCCGTCGCAATGTACTTATTGTAGAAGCTGTGATGAAAAAAGAGGAAATATTGTCAGGTGTCAACGAGAGTTCCCTTGACCACTTCATTGGGAAAAAATTCGCTCTGATCAATTATATATCCCACTGAAGTGTTTGGGGGAACTCCTGGTGGCATTTGATTTTACAAAGAAGAACAAAGCGCT